GCAGCAGCAGCAGCCACTTTTTATAAAACCAACCCGTCCTCTCCGAATACTCAATCGAATTATTTCGAGATCATAAATAGTCATCCACAGACAAACTGATTCGCTGTATCACAGTTTCTCGGTGTGGCTAGACATCCGATTGCTTCAAGCCGGGATCGAAATTAGCACCAGTCAGAGATTCTACCCACAAGCAATCGTCGCACGGCAAAGAGAAAGGGAAAATTTATATATATATATATATATATATATATATATATATATATATATATATATATATATATATATATATATGATACCAAATTGTAATTGGTAGGGATTATTCCAAAAGGAATTTTATTCCATATAAGAACTCAATGTATGATACAGAACAAATTATAAGAATAATTAGGAAAAAAATTTAAAAACCAAAGTCGTTAAAAAATTTATTAAATTTATTTCGATGAATATGAGCATATTCATTTCATCAGATCAACTATATTTTATGAAATGGAATCAAGATATACCAGCCAGACAGATACACAAAGATTAAAAAATAAAAAAATAAAAATTGAAAATACAAGATAAAACAATATCAAAAATAAATTAGCCTAAAATGGTTTTCTTTGGAGAAGGTTACTTTATGAAGAGAGCGAACAGAAAAAAAGTTAATATCTCGGGTAAGAGAAGGTAAAGAGATAGAAATGTTAAATTTAAAACAGAGTTACAACAATGTGTCAGATAAAGCTCACAGAAGAAGAGGTTAAAATGTTGCCTGTTTAAACAGCAACATCATCATATAATCGTCATCACATAATACTTACAAGGAAAATATATATTATTATAAATAAAAGATAAACATACACCTACACATACAAACACACATAAATATACATACACACACGTACATATGTATAAATTTAAAAATACACACACACACACACACACACACATATAACAAAACATAAATACACATATACACCCTTGTTCAAAACGAATAATTCCGTTATTTTTTTTTTCGTATTTTTCCAATGAAACATGACCCAGTGCACATGTTAGTACTTCGAATGTCCATAATAATATAATATATATATATATATATATAATAATAAACAGCAAAAAATAATTAATAAATAATAAGTAATGAATAAAAATTTAACAAACAACACTATAAACATATATATATATATATATATATATATATATATATATATATATATATATATATATATGTTTCAGTGATAATGCTAAAAAGCTTATTGGACAATATGAAAGGATTTTACTTAAAATAAATAGACAAAACTTGTCTATATTATTTAATGAAATATACATTCATGAAAAAATGCTGCCTAAATACACACACACACTATATATATATATATATATATATATATGATAGCGCTTTCAAGTACGTAAAGTGCTTTAACTCACCAGGATTTTGAGTTTCATGTTCTCTCAATCTTCAGTTGGTGCGATGAAACTCAGCGTCGTAGCTAGCTACACTACATCTTTGCCTATTGCTTCATACGTGCGTTATCTGGTTGAACTTATTTTTGCTAGTTGGTGGCGGGGGGGGGTGAAACTATTCAGCGTACTTCTGATTATTTGTCACTTCAATTTTTATGCAAATTACGTTTTATAGGTATGATTATATTTTCAAATACTTCTAAAATCATCTGCTTAGCTTAAAAAAAAACAAAACAGGCTACCTGCGGTAGTTCCAACTCAGAATGGTACTTTTTTATGAACATTCTGGATCGTATTCTCCATTTCAGGCAAAATGCAGATTGCTTCATCAGCAATTAATTTTTTTTTTTCGAATTCGTTCTTTAGTCAGTGTCTTCTCTTTTTTTCTTTTCCTCTTGTATTTTCAGGCAATGAATCGTTTTTCTCTTTTCTTCTAAACATTTTGCACCTCTTTCATTCATGTACTTGCAACTCCGATTCTATATTTGAGATCAGTTGACTAAAAAAATAAATAAAAGCCTTATTCTAATTGCTTAGAGAAGGATCATTACCAAAAATTCCGAAAAAGAATGAAAAATACTCAATCAAATCATAGGCTAAAATTTTTCCTTTGTTGACGATACAGAATAAACTTTGCGAAGATTTGTTTTTCATTCATTTTACTTCGTTGAATATTTATTTATTTTTAGATTATCCTTCAGTTTGTTTGTTTGTTTTTTCCGTTAATTTTCATTCGTTGTAACTTTGGCCACTAGTTGAATCACACCATCCGCGCAAGCGATAGTCGCACTTATACTTAACTACAGTTAGCCTAATTATCAAAAGCAAAAGTTCAAATCTTTGTCACACTAAAAATTCTTTGCAAAATTCAATATTTTGAAATTAGTGAAATATAAACAAAAGAAATACTTTAATACTAATATTGAAAATATAAAAAGAAAAACTTGTAATAATATATTTTTTTAAATATAAAAAAATGTACTAATTTAAATGTACCCAAATCTACCAAAGTCCGAGATGCCGAGGGAAAAAGCAACAAATTATTTTTTTTACCGATGTTTCACCCAATACAAGGCCCAAGCGCAACTCAAAGTAGAGTGTTACTGAGAGAGATTGTTGTAATTGAGGGTGAAGGAGGAATTAAGAAATGCATATTCTAAGGACGTGTAGGATAGATATCGGTTGACATTGGACATAAAGAGAGCAAATAGTCATCGGGGAAGCATCCTCACAGGAGTCTGCTTGCATAAAGCAACAGTTCTTAGAAAAACGCTGTCTCATTATCAAATGAACACAAAGGGAATGTGTATGGTTTGCCACTGTGAACATGGCATAGTGGGTTCTATCTGTGAACGTCTGAATTGGAGGGACTAAGGGATGTAGTTCGTTTGAACTTTTACCATAGCAATAGCAAAAGAGTAGTAAGATGCCAGCAATGTTTTATCTGTGGGATAAGAGTTGCAGGGTCGAGAATAAGTCACCACCCACTAGGAATAATAATAATAATAGTAGTAGTAGTAGTAATAATAATAATAATAATAATAATAATAATAATAATAATAAATAGGTAAACTTTAACATCCGTACCCACAAAGACAACGGCGTGACAAAAGTTTCAACTTTTAACCCAGTGGTTATGTAGTGCAGAGTTACAAGCTGAAACTGAAGGTTTATTCTTGCTGCAAAGAACCAATGCTTGCTAACTAGAAATTACCAAGCACGCATACTGAAAAATTGTGTTCGCCCCAAATGCAGATTCTGTGGTAAATACACAGAATCAATTAGCCATCTTGTATCAAGTTGCATAGTGTTAGCACCCACTGAATATAAAACACGTCATGATCGAATATACCAATAATATCTACACTGGAAAATATGCAAACTTTTACGGAAAGGAAATTGCAAGAAACTGATATGAACATCACCCACACCCGGTTACAGAGATAGGATCTGTAAGAATTTTATGGGATTTTACAATACACACAGACATAATGATCAAAGCTAATCGTCCCTGACATCGTGATCAAAGACGACAAAAACAGAATGTACTTTCTTATTGACATGGCAGTCCCTGCAGATTTTTAACGTATTTTTGAATATCTTAAAAAAACTATCAAAATACAAGCATCTTGAAGTGGACATCTCAAAAATGTGGCACATGAGGACATTAATAATTTCACTTGTGATTGGAGCCCCTCGGATTGATTGGAAAATATACCAATAGACACACTGAAGGAATTCCTGTTAGTTCATGCCTTAAAGAAATACAAAAAATCGTACTCACAAATAGAGATCGCATATTACGAAGAGCTTTTTCTATATAAAATGTGTGGGGTCTCATATTTTGCTTTTCTTTTAATTTCTTTTTTTTTTGTTTTGCTTTTGTTTTTGTTTTTTGTTTTTTTACAAAAATGATCAGTGGAAAATGTGATGACGCCATTTCTGACCTTAGGTGTCTGGTTGTGGGGGGGGGCGGAATGGAACATAAATGAAAAGGAATAATAATAATAATAATAATACAAGGACCTTGAAATCGAAATCTAAGCTATCAAAATACAAGGACCTTGAAATCGAAATCTCAAAAATGTGGCACATGGGAACATCAACAATCCCCATTGTAGTTGGAGCCCTCGGATTAGTTGGAAAAGATTCCAGTAGACTAATTGAAGGGATTCCTTGAAACCCATGCCTTAAAGAAATACAAAAAAATGTTCTCACGAGTAAAGCCCACACCTTACGAAGGGCTTTGTCTATGTAAAATATGTTTTTTTTTGTTTTTTTCCAGTGGAAAATGTCATGATACCATTTCTAACCTTAGGTTCCTGAGCGGGACCCGGAAAGAGATGAGTACACATCAGAAATCAAAGGAAATAAAATAATAATAATAATAATAAAAATGGGGAAAAACAGTGTGTCAAAAAGACGCTATTTTTCTCTCCATACCGCTCTTTCTGTTTACTCTCTTGGCAATTTTTATTCTTTAAAAAAAATGCTTGTTTAAAAAATTTTAATAAATCCCAAACATATAAAAAGTGGATTAATACATTCCATTTTTTTCACAAGAATTGATAACAGAATATATTAAACACTATTCTTGTAAATAAACAGTCTAACAAATAGTTTTCAGCATCTTTGTTGTCAGTTCTCGAGAAAAAGTATAAATCCAGATGTGCGCAATCTATTTTAGTGAGAGCAAATGAAAGAAATGTCCGGAAAATGGAATTTTTCAAAATTTATAATTAAATTTACTCGTCGTTATGTTTATTTAATTTTTCTTGTTCTCTTGTTCACAGATATTTTTATAAATTTATGAATAAAAAAATTTATTTTCATATTTATTTATTTACATGGCAAATAATAAATATTGCATTGTAGTTAGTTCACATATTTTTTATAAACTTGTAAATATAAAATCGTTCTTATAAATAAACAATCAATTAAATACTCGAAAAAGAAAAGAAAATACCTAAATTCAGTTTAATATGTTTGAGTTTTATTAAAATTCTAAAAATAACTTTTTAAAACAATTTTTTAAAAAATATGATTTCGATTTCCAGATGAAAACTTTTGGGCATGCCCAGACAGATATCCGCGCATTTTCTTTTTCATCGCGGATAACGAGATTCTACTATAGTTACATTTCTCTTTCATCAATCTCTTTCTTTTATCGTCTCTCTTTTGACTATCCTTCTTTTTCATTTTTCAAATATCTTTTTCTTCATATATCTTTCACTTGTCTCTCTCTCCTTCTCTCTCTTTCTCTCTCCTTCTCTCTTTTTCTCTCTCCTTCTCTCTCTTCTCTCTTCTTCTCTCTTCTCTCTCTCTTCTCTCTTCTTCTCTCTCTTCTCCCTTCTTCTCTCTTCTTCTCTCTCCTTCTCTCTTCTTTTCTCTTCTGTCTTCTCTCTTCTTCTTTCTCTTCTCTCTCCTTCACTCTCCTTCTCTCTCCTTCTCTCTTCTTCTCTTTCCTTCTCTCTTCTACTCTTTCTTCTCTCTCCTTCTCTCTTCTTCTCTCTTCTCTCTCCTCCTCTCTCTTCTCTCCCCTTCTCTCTCCTTCTCTCTCCTTTTCTCTTCTTCCTTCTATTATTTCTTTTTTTCTGGTTCGTTTTACTATTCTCCTTCCTTCACCAATATTTTCTTCATTTTCCTTCCCTTGACTAATCTTTTCATTTCTTATTCTTTTTTTTATATATTTATTATTATGCAGTTCGTTAAATCCAACTCCATTCTGCTGCAATTCATGTGAATGTTACGTACACACTCATTCAATTATGATTTATTAAAGAGAGAGTCATTTGAAATACGTCATCATTAAGAACATTTATACCGCAAGCTTCAACACCAACAGTTAAAACAACGCCCATATTCACGTCCCTGCCACACCTATTAACCTCTCCCCTCATCATCACCACTAACAATACATCACCACTTCCACCATCAAAGCATCGCTAATATTACATCCCTAACATCATAAAGGTATTCATTTCAATACTACCACCATTGACACCTCATCAGTACCATAATAGCATCATACAATTACCACTATTGCTCAAATCATCATCATCATCATCACAACGACCACCAATATGATTTTACTGCTACCATTAATCTCACAGCACTACCATCACAACTGTCATTTATTTCCTTCAAAATACATATCACCATCACAGCATCAATCATTGTCAACATCACATATTATACACAAGATAACTTTCCTTGGAGAGAAAGACACGTCATCTTTAAGAAAAACTCAACCCGCAGGAGTGTTCGAGGGTCTGCCATTTTGAATTTTGATTGGAATGGGGAACACTGAAAGCAAACAGGACGTCAGTAAAAAAAAAAAATCGGGGTTCCAGCCGATTGAAAAATTAATCAACACAACAACACTTCGGAACACTTCAATTATGCAAATTAGCGTTAATCAAATAAGGCTGAGTGTTAATTTCTACATAATTAGCCGGGCGATATCGGCAGATAATTGGGTAAATATTTTAATCTAACACAGCATTTTGGACGGCGACGTAGTTGGAGAGAGAAAAGAAATGGCGAGTGGTTGTCGGCTGGTTTCTGGTTTTCTCTTTGGTATTTCCTTTTTCGTTTACTGGGGTTTGATTCGGGGTTATTCGTTCGTTCTGAAAGGGGCTAGTTTATTCTTGTCGAGAGAGGAACGAACATATGCGAGAGTGTGTGTCTTGTGTGTGTTTAAAATCATCCTCGAAAATGCTTTTGAAATTTTATGTCGAAATGCGACACTGAAAGCATTCTTGATACTTTTATTTCAGATTTTCGTCGTTTTATTCAATGCGCAGAAATTTTATATCAAAAACTCAAAAATACTGGCTCAGTGATGCAGATGTTGATGACTATCAGAATATAGTGAGCACCGATCATTATGATAAGCATTAGAACATGGATAATGATAATGATGATGGTGATAGAGGTGGCCATCTGCGTTACGCCGTGGATGAGGTTACGAATAATGATGTCAAACGGTATCTACACAAGGCCAAAGAGTCATTCAAGGTAGAGTAACTGAAGTAGGTTACTGTATGAGCTGTAAGAGTAAGGGGTAAGAAACGTAATTTATGAGGATATAAGGGAAAAATAACTGTTAACACTGTACATTTTATATATATATATATATATATATATATATATATATATATATGTATATGTATATGTATATATATATATTGAGAGTGAGAGAGGAGAGCATTATATATATATATATATATATATATATATATATATATATATATATATATATATATATCCGAAGCGATGAGAACGAAATAAAATTCCAACGTTCGCAGCATTAATTCAAAAGAGGGCTCGATACCGAGAGTAGAGCGATAACTATTAATTTATTATAATTTTATCATATGGACAAAACCATTTTACTCACTACAAAGATGCAACTTCGTTTCAGTGCATTTCAACTGCACTTCGACGGGTGAGAACCGAAAATGGTTATGAACAGTTCTGCTTTTAGGCAAGGTATATATTGAGAGAGAGAGAGAGAGAGTGTTTATATATATATATATATATATATATATATATATATATATATATATATCAACTTAGTGGTAGATAAATAAACGATAAAATGAGAAATTATGTGACACGTTTCGTCCTTCAAAGCATTCTTCAGGATAAATAATGATTTTATTGAAAGGGTCACATATCCTAGGATTAAGATTTAAGAAACAGCAGATATTTTATATATAGTGCTCAATAAAAATATTAAAATAACATTTAAAATAAAGCATTAATAATATTATATGAAAAGATTACTTCACTTTAAATATCAATTTAAAGTTAAGACGCGGTATATCTTGCAAAAAAATTAGAAACATTTAAAAACAGAACCCCTAGAAGAAAAGATATAACCAAGAAACTTCGAAGTTGGGGAAAACAACAAAAAATTGATATTTAAAGTTAAGTAATCTTTATATATATATATATATATATAATAAAATAAAATATTTATATATATATATATATATATATATATATATAATTATTTATAAAAAATATGATTTCAACACGCTACATAAGAGTTCTCATCTAGCGTGTTGAAATCATATTTTTAAATAAATAATTATATTTATGCTCTACTTTTGTATCGAGCACTATTTTTAAAAATAATAAAAAAATACTAAAGAACTTTGGATTATTTACCTAACGAGTTCTTTTCCTATTTTCTATATATTTTTCACACACACACACACACACACACACACACACACACACACATATATATATATAAATATATATATATATTTCTTCAAACGTTATTCTTACTGGATACTCGTGTTTGAGTAGATGATCCGTTTATTTTAAACAGTATTTATTTCGTCTACAGGCTTGCTTCACTGGAGAAAATTTAATAAAGGAAATGTGCCTTCCAGCATGATTCGAACGTGCGTCACCCTTTGGAGGAGAAACTGACGCGTAAAAAAAACAAAAGGTGGGTTAAAAAAAATAAAATCTATTCTTTGGAAATTGCATTATATAAATTATACATCGTGTTTGTATATGTCTACTTGAAACTATGAAAATTAACATAGAGTTGATGTCTGAGTGTCTATGCAAATATCATATAAAACTGTTTTCCATTTGCTGGAAGTTAGGGAGTGTAAAAATTGTCCACGTTGTCTATTGTTCAAAACGCTTTCGGACATTTTTTAAAATATTTTCAAGGGTTTTTGATGTAATGAATATGCATACACCTGAGTTCCCCCCTGACAGTAATATGATTAGCTGGTGTCAGCCATAAATGCAGACTGATGTGGAGGTACATGACTTCGCCTATTGTCTTCACCTATTGCCTACGCCTATTGCCAACCATTACGACGAGGACAAGTCCATTACGGTTACCTGTTAGATAATCCTACCCGGTTACAGAAGTCAAAAACCACTTTGCTACTTCGAACAAATATATCCCTTTCCGGGACATATCAGTTTTATTTTAGGTGATGTTAATTTCTCTTCATAAGATGTATTTTATTTTTTACTTGTTTTGAATACTAGTAAGAGTGTTTATTATATCTATATTTATCTATCTATCTCTCTCTCTCTATCTCTCTCTCTCTCTCTCTCTCTCTCTCTCTCTCTATATATATATATATATATATGTGTGTGTGTGTGTGTGTGTGTGTGTGTATGCAACGCAAAACCCATCATTAGGCATAAACATTGTCATCTTATGAAAATATACAAGGATGTTGAAGCTGACAAAATGAGACTCTTTAAAACTAATGTTCTACATATAACATTAATACTTAGAGCCGTGGATATGATCAATGAAGGTACATTCAAAAACAGCAAGATAATGCCTGGCAGCCCATATTTACAAAAGATAAAAAGAACTGCACTTGTGATAGATCATCTGTTCAGAAGAGTGTAAAGATAATATAAACTCTGTACATGTTAAATATCATTTAGCCTCAGAACTTGTGCAGAATGAATGTATATATTTAATACATTGCTTTACCCAATGTTTCGAGTAATGACCATGTAAGTGATTGTAATTAACAGAATGCAAATGTAGATAATAATAATAATAATAATAATAATAATAATAATAACAACAATTTTTTCTCTGAAAACGTCAAAATTAAATTTTGTTATTTTACTACTCTTTTAACATAAATCTTTCTTATTATTATTTATTTAATTTATCGTTTTCTCTTTTAATAAAACTGATTGATTATTAATCAACTAGTTTTCTCATCTCAATTATTCATATATTCCTTAGAAAGACTACGATATTGGTTGTAGATAACGCTAAATATTGTCGACGGGTTCAGTGAATAAATAATTGAATATACAGATGGACGAACAAATAAAACAACGAATGAATAAAACATATATATATATATATATATATATATATATATATATATATATATATATATATATAGTATATAAGGTGTGCTGTATTTATGGGATGAAGTGTTCAATATCAGAGATAGAATGTGTAAATATAAAAGTGAACATAGAAGTCAACACTTAGAAGCGATAGTCTGTTTCATGCTAGACGCAATCGTCAGGCCACTGATATATATATATATATATATATATATATATATATATATATATATAGATTTATGCAAAAATAAGTTATCAATAATCTTTTTTTTTTTTTTTAAATATACTCCGATAAATAATATCACAACTTTCTTTAAATTAATCAATAAATAAAATATCATTATTTTTTTTTCAATTTACAGGGATTAATTTTCATTTAATCTTATATCAAAATAATAGTAAAAATTATTATTTTTTTAATTTCACAGCAGTGATACGTAATACTTCGTATAAATTCTAAACTTTATTAACCGAATGTTAACTTTTTCTTTTTCCATTAACATTTTTTGACAATTATTTTCGTTAAAAGGACTAGTGGATGGTAGCAACAACAATAATATTATTAAATCATTTAACCTCAAAACTAATTAACAGGAGCAGTAGCAAAAACGGTGAAAAAAAAATAAATAAAAATAAAAATGACCATCTCTTTTTTTCATACTTATAAATATATAATGTATTATTTAAACTTTAGTTAATTTAATATATTATTTAAACTTCAGTTAATTTAAACTCTAGTACATCGTTTCTCAACCGGGGTTCCCCTAAACCATAAGGTTCAGCA